CCCTCAGACTCCCGTGGGCTTGGAGGAGGGTGGTCGCCTTGGCCCTCCTTCTCAAGGGAGACCCGATTTGCTTGCCTCACGGCCATCAGGAGCATCATACCTGGAGGACGACAATCCTCGGAACCGGTTTAGTAATGGACGAGGCGAGTTGATGGATGAGAGCGGTTCCGAGAGCCGGCGATCCATGCGGTATTCTTCGGGCGGTAGCTTCAACCAGGATCGCAACGATCGAGAGCGAGAACGCGAGCGTCGCGGCGGCGGCGGCGGCGGCGGCGGCGGCGAGGATGAAGGATCACGGAGTAGCTCTCGACGGGAGGAACATCGGGATCGTACACGCGATTATGAGCGTGAGCGCAGTCGTCGCAGCGATGCTGGAGCGGGCACTCCGCGCGAAGAGCGCTTCGAGTCTCGTGAGGTCTCTCGGCGGGGTGCTGGAGCACGCGAGGACAATCGGCGACGACGTGACCGTGAAGAAGGATCGGACCTTGCCCCGAGCAGTCAAGACCAGGAAGGACGTCTTAGGCCGCCATCTTCCCTTGGAGGGCAACCTCCACCTCCCCCGCCACCACCTGCTGGCTCAGAGGAGGAGCCACGACGCTGGAGCGGTGGGCGCGAAGGGCGAGACCGCGATCGCAACCGTGATCGCCAGCGAGAGCGGGAATATCATCGTGACGGTGCTGGCGGAGGGCCTCACCGTAAGCGCAATCGACCGGGAGACGACGGAACTCATGGCGAGGGAGCCGGACGAGGAGGAATGCGCATGGGTGGTGAAAGCAAACGTCCACGACGTGGGGGTTAGTCTGGTAACTGCAGAATGACCTGTACTGCATGACAATGTGTTTTCTTTGTTTCATTTGCTCTATCTCCCCGACACCCTCTATACTCAATTTTCTCACGCCTTCTTACACATTCCCGACCTCTCTTTCTCCGCCTTTTCTTTTCTCTCTCTACATCTCCCTCTCTTCTATTGATTTACTCTGTATCTTGTGCACTGGATCCCATGCATTGTTGGACGGTGTTAGGACTTTTTGATTGAACGCATCCATTGGCTGAGCTTGCTCGCTTGCTTGTGATAAACCCGGGGAGTGAATTGCATGTATCTGTGTAACATACTAAGGACCAACCACGTACGAGGCAATTGATAATGAGACGAGGCCAGGCTGGCCAGTTGCATTGCAATGGGAGTGTTGCACACCGATCTGATGATTGATTCTTCCTGAAGCAGCAATGGTTTCCACTGCCCAGTGCCTGACCAGTTGACTGGCCAGCAGCAGCAAGGAGAATTTCCCTTTCGGTCGCGGGCCTTGACAAAATGACAGGCAATCGGGCCGACATTCCGTTCCGCCCCTCGCCGGTTAATCTTCGGCTTCGTCTTTCCTTCCTTCTTGCTCACCATCAGGTCTCATCTTTCTCACGGTCAACACGCCCAGACGGTTCAACCTCCATCCCGGCCCTACCAACCGATCATCCGTCATGGACTCACGATCCATCCATGCGATCGTGGTGGATCCTAGACTGGGGTCCCCCCGGGCTCTGTGCTCTTGGAGGCGGGGAGCTTGTGTGCGACATCCGCCGGCTTCAATGCGACGACTGACTCAGTCCCACCAGAAACAAGGACTATATCTAGACCCTCATTTCCTTTCCTGCCCGGTTAAATTATGACGGCATTCCTTCCCCCGCCTATTCTCTTATCGTCTTATCGCTCTATCGCTTTATCCTTAACCCACCTCCTCCCTGGACAATAGATCCCTCTTTCAATTTCATCCTACCCTTCCTCGCTCCGGAGTGGTCAAACTCTCCACCTTAAAAACCAAAAACAACAAAACGAGTATAGAAATTGTTGGAGTATAGCACTCGCAAAAATGACTCGCTTAGACGTGGAGAAAACCCTGGAAGAGCTCACGCTCGGTGAGAAGGTGGCCCTCACAGCAGGTGAGTTACTACAGACCACATCAACATGCCATCCGAACTAGCGTTTGTGTGTCTCTAATCCACCCTCTTCCAATCTCATCAGGCATTGACTTCTGGCACACTGCCGCTGTGCCCCGTTTGAACATTCCCTCTCTCCGCATGTCCGATGGCCCCAACGGCGTGCGGGGCACCCGCTTCTTCAACGGCGTTCCTGCCGCCTGCTTCCCGTGCGCAACGGCCCTCGGTGCGACCTGGGACACGGAGCTGCTGCACCAAGTCGGACGGCTGATGGGCGAGGAGTCCATCGCCAAGGGCTCGCACATCATTCTCGGTCCGACCATCAACATTCAGCGGTCCCCGCTGGGCGGTCGAGGCTTCGAGTCCTACGCCGAAGACGGAGTCCTGTCCGGGACTCTAGCAGGCCACTACTGTCGGGGTGTACAGGAGAAGGGCGTTGCGGCAACGCTGAAGCACTTTGTCTGCAATGACCAGGAGCACGAGCGTCTGGCAGTCGACACGATCATCACAAACCGGGCGTTGAGGGAGGTCTACCTCCTGCCGTTCCAGCTGGCGATGCGCATCTGCCCGACAGCGTGCGTCATGACCGCGTATAACAAAGTCAATGGGACGCATGTGAGCGAGAACAAGGAGATCATCACAGATATCCTCCGGAAAGAGTGGGGATGGGATGGGCTGGTGATGAGTGATTGGTGAGTCGCGGTCCTCTCCAATCCAGATGTTTTGGTAGTAGGGTTCAGAAAGCTGATTCCTTGCATACAGGTTCGGAACGTACAGCACCTCCGACGCTATCGATGCGGGCTTAGATCTCGAGATGCCGGGCAAGACACGCTGGCGTGGAACGGCCCTGGCACATGCCATCTCCTCGAACAAGGTCGCCGAGTTCGTCATGGATGAGCGAGTGCGCAATGTTCTCAACTTGGTCAATTGGGTTGACCCGCTCGGTATCCCCGAGCAAGCAGAGGAGAAGTCATTGAACCGACCGGAGGACCAGGCGCTTCTTCGTCGCACAGCAGCGGAGTCGGTGGTACTCATGAAGAACGAGGACAATATCCTCCCCTTGAAAAAGGAAAAGTCGATCCTAGTCATCGGGCCCAACGCTAAATTCGCCGCCTACTGCGGAGGTGGCTCCGCGTCGTTGGACCCGTACTACACGGTGACCCCGTTCGAGGGCGTCTCGGCCAAGAGCCAGGGCGCGGTGCAGTTCGCCCAGGGCGTCTACTCACACAAGGAACTCCCCCTACTGGGTCCGCTCCTCAAGACGGAAGATGGTCAGACCGGCTTCAAGTTCCGGGTGTACAACGAGCCCGCGTCCGAGGCGAACCGGACTCTGGTCGATGAGCTGCACCTGGTCTCGTCCAGCGGCTTCCTGATGGACTACGTCAACCCCAAGATCAAATCCTTCACCTTCTACGTCGACATGGAAGGCTACTTCACCCCGGAGGAGGATGGCGTCTACGACTTCGGCGTGACCGTCGTCGGCACCGGCAAGCTCTACGTGGACGGCGAGGTCGTCGTCGACAACACCAAGAACCAGCGCCAGGGCACCGCCTTCTTCGGCAACGCCACCGTCGAAGAACGGGGCTCCAAGGCCCTCAAGGCCGGCCAGATGTACCGCATCCTCCTCGAGTTCGGCAGCGCCCCGACCTCCGACCTGGACATGCGTGGCGTCGTGATCTTCGGCCCCGGCGGGTTCCGCTTCGGCGCCTGCCGCCAAGTCACCCAGGAGGACCTCATCTCGCACGCGGTGGACCTGGCCGCGAGCGCCGAGCAGGTCGTCATCTTCGCGGGCCTGACCAGCGAGTGGGAGACCGAGGGCCACGACCGCGACCACATGGATCTGCCCCCCGGCAGCGACGAGATGATCGCGCGCGTGCTGGCCGCCAACCCCAACGCCGTCGTCGTCATCCAGAGCGGCACGCCCGTCACCATGCCCTGGGTGCACCAGGCCAAGGGCCTCCTGCACGCCTGGTTCGGCGGCAACGAGTGCGGTAACGGCATCGCCGACGTCCTGTACGGCGACGTCAACCCCGCCGCCAAGCTGCCCGTCACCTTCCCCGTCCGCCTGCAGGACAACCCCAGCTTCCTGAACTTCCGGTCCGAGCGCGGCCGCGTCCTCTACGGCGAGGACGTCTACGTCGGCTACAAGTACTACGAGAAGCTCGACCTCGCCCCGCTCTTCCCCTTCGGCCACGGCCTTTCCTACACCACCTTCACCCGCCAGAACCTCCGCGTCACCGCTTTGGGGCAGGAACAGCCATACCTCGCCGCCGCCGGCGAGCCCATCACCGCCACCGTGTCCGTCACCAACACCGGCCCCCTGCCCGGCGCCGAGATCGTGCAGCTGTGGGTCCTCCCGCCCCGGACGGGCGTCAACCGGCCCAAGCGCGAGCTCAAGGGCTTCGCCAAGGTGCACCTGCAGCCCGGCGAGACCAAGGAGGTCGAGATCACCGTCGAGAAGAAGCTGGCCACGAGCTGGTGGGATGAGCAGCGCGCCAAGTGGGCGTCGGAGAAGGGCGTCTACGCGGTGCAGGTCACGGGCACCGGGGACGGGGTCCTGCAGGGCGAGTTCACGGTCGAGAAGACTCGGTTCTGGCTGGGGCTGTAGCCCCATGTATCTGCCCGTGGTTGGGGCCTGATCGGTTACGCTCGGGCGATCTCGTTCCGAGAGATAGGACTGTCTCCATACCAAGGTTGCTCTCTCTCTCTCTCTCTCTCTATCTCTATACTGGTTATAGTCGAAGTTTGGTTATATGTTCCCACGAAATATGCTATGACTTGATGGATACCTTATGAATATACATCTACATTCATGACTGGCTGTCTCTGCTATCAGACCTCGTGTCATCTACATAACGTAGCAGATATCCGACCTAGCATACATCAATCAGTTCCCGATTTTAACGGTATACGTACGATCATAAATTTCACCTCCAGGTGGCTCGACTAGCACTATAAATACACTCCGAATAACGTAACCCGGACATACATACACAGGACATCTCCGGAACGCATTTCAAGGATGAGTTGTTGATTTGCAAAACGTTATTTATTCATTCATGAAAACTCATTCACGTGCCCTGATACGGCAGCACCCCTTCGAGACCCGACGACATTCTGGGGAGGTGGTTCTCCTCATCCTTTTCCCTGGGACTTCCTCGGCCAGTCAGCCAACCCGCTAGTCGTCTAAACAGTGTCGTTGGTGTCGACATCGCCCGACGACTCTCCGTCTCCAGCTCAAGTACCGAGTCGTCGTCATCATCCTCTTCATGTCGTCGGAACCGCCGTCGCAGTTTCCCTGATACAGACGCCGTGGAGTGGCTGAGAGCCGACCAGGAGGTCTTTAACCGCGATGCGCTGGTCCCCGGTCGACGCGGCGGGACGGTGTGTGTTGGTTCTGGGAGGCAGGGGAGGGTTGTTGTCGGAGCATCGTCACCGGTGTACCCACTCTCAGTGGTGGGTTCGCGACGGTTGACGTGAGTCCGTTCCGTACTGTCTATGCCCCCGGTGGTGGGGGAGGAGGATGAGGACGAAGAGGAGAGGAGAAGGATACTCCCCGTCTTCATCTTGGTCATCACCGCCTGCTGAAGACCGAGATCCCGCTCGAGCTCTTCGGCCGAGGTCATGATGTGGGCGTTGCCGTTCGTGTCGATTATCGTCGGGGGCTCGTCTTCGCCGCCCTCTGTTCCTGAGAGTGTCTCATCGTCGGGGAGGTGGGCGGGGTATGTTGGTGTGTATGTGGAGTGGCGCTTGGGCTTGGAGGTGGAGGTGTCCTCTTCCTCGTTACCGGTGATCTCTGCTTCGGTGATGAGGATGGAAGATCCCGTAGCAGCGGCAGGCGGGTTGTAGACTCTCGATTGCCGGACGGAAGTAGTGTTCGTGGATGTGAGGCCGAGGCTGGGGGTGCTGGTTGTCAGGAGAGGCATCGCCACACCTCCGGGGCCTACGCCTACGCCGCCGACTCCACCTGCGGAGGAGGTGATATACTCCGCGGCAGTGTCGGCATCAAGGAACACCTCGACGTCGGAGTCGTTGGTGGCGTCGGGGCTCTCGTCTGTGGACGCGGAAAGATTGTGTTGGTTCGGCACCGGGTCAGTTGGGGACAGGAAAGCGGCGGTGTCTTGGTCGCGTTGGCAGGGCTTTTTTGCGTCCCCTTTCGCTGCAGCTGCTCCCCGGGCTAAGAATTGGTGGTGGATGTGCTGTTGGTTGTGGTCGACGGACGAGGTCGGGCTCGTATCTTCGCTGCTCGTCCCGTTGTTACTACTGTCCGTTGGCGAGAGGCTTGTCGGCACGGTTCTGTAGACCGTGGTTTCTGACTGCGTCGTGGTCGTGGTCGTGGTCGATACTGTGATCGGGCTGATGATGACATCCTCTTCCCCCTCGGGTGCGGTTGGTGAGATCGGACTGACAATCATACTCTCTTCTCCCCAAGCGACAGCCGCAGTGGCTCCCACCTGCGACTTTTCAGCTTTGGGGCAGTCCTCGCGGTGCGCCGTGGTATAATTTGAGTGCGAGGATCCCAGCTTGGACCGTTGCCCCTGTCTCATTGTCGCTATACTCGGTTGCTGTGTCAACCCAACCCCAGAATCGTGTTTCTCGCTTCCATCCCGAGCAAAGATCCCAGTTCCGAATCGTCCAATCATCCCATTGCGAAGCTTCTTGGTGGTGCTGGACAACATGTACTTCGCCTCAACCTGCGCAGCCGCGGCCGCACTGCTCCCTGAAAGGGTAGAGGTGGCTGTGATAGTGGAGATACGTTTCTTTCGGGCTGCAGCCGCTTCTTTGGCGCGATTGGGGCAGTAATTGGAGGAAATCCCTTGCTCGATGCGATAAACGAGCAGTGAGCAGGCGTAGCGGACTTGAGCTTCCAACTCGGGGGAGAGCTCTTGGCGGGTGCTCAAGAGCATATCTTCATCTTCTTCAGCTTCATTTTGGGCGGTGGCATTGTCATTATGTTTCTGGGGGGAAAGATCATAGTATCGTGGAGGTTGGTCATCAAGGTTGTCATCGTGAAGGGCGAAGGTCGGTTTCTGTGACTATTCCTTTAGTAACATTTCATTGACGCTGGTGAATCGCAGAGAGAAGGGGCGACATGCTGCCACACTTCTCAGATTTGGGATCTCTCGGAGGATTAAAGAGGGTAATGTTACACACTTTTGAACCGAAGAGGAAAGAAAATGAGGTGCGTTTTTTCAACAGGAGGTCCTTGGTCAGGAAATCCATATTCACTGTTAGGGCCTTCGAGAAGAAGGTGAGATCGGAAAAGGGAAGAGACGTGGATCTATTGGCGCGGACCAGTACTGTATATGATATTATGGGCTATCATCGATCCCAGGAAGAGAAAAAGATTGTTTCACAAACGAGAGGGCTGGATCTGAATAGTTTGCTCGCATGGGAATGACGATTGCGACCAGGGCTGATTCTGAACGTCTTGGTCCGCTGGGCAACGGAGTGCCCAAAAGAGCCGCCCAAAACAAACTCTCTTTCTCTCGTGATTCGGCCCAACTCAATGAGAGTCAAAAATGAACCGAAAAGTTGTCCGGGCAGCTGAGAAAAGGAAATGCGCAATGGGAATTGGAATGCGGGGGGTGGGGATGAATAGAAAAGAGGCAATTCCTCAAAGCCTCGGGAGCACAGCAAACAAGAAGTAGAAGAATGGAAACCAACCCAGCCGAGTCAAGCAGGCAAGCCACCTCCTCCTCCCCCCATCATCATGATGACAGAAAAGTCTCGGACTCGAAAGAGATGTGAAGTACCTACTTGCTTGCATTGCACATTGCACAGGACTGGACGAGTCTCATAGCCTTCCAACCTGCATTGCATTTCCCCGACGATCGATCCTTATTCGCAAGGCAAAGGAAGGCTCGCGGGAGCTGCGCGCCGCGCGCGCCCAACGGCGGCGGCCACTCCAAGAGAACGAGCGGGGAAACAAGCTATTAGACTTTTGTTAGGGATGAAACGGCAGGTGAGAAAGCATGGTTGGCATAAAAGCAGGCGAACGGTTACTATCACAGAGTTCGAGCTGAATTCTGGCGACGCTCAGACTGTCTGTTCCGGTGGAGGGTGTTGGGAGATTGTTTGTGTGTACCGTTTGCCCCCCCCCCGGCATCTCTCTCGACCCCTGCTCACCCCGAGATTGAACCCGCAGTGACTATCACTCTTCAATGCAGGGTACAGAGCACGGTCATTCGCTGCAGGGAGACGAGAGGGAGGATCCAGCCGAATCCAGATCGTCGTGTCGTGGGAGAGGGAGGGCAGCAGACGGGGTGGGACTGTACCCTTGCTGGCAACAATGAGAGATTTCCACGCTGTTGGGATACTCCTGCTTCAACTGTCAGTCTCGGTTTCGGTCTCTGCTTGACCAAGGACTGAACTGACTGACATCATTGAAGCTTCACATTGCACAGACGAACAGCCGGGTGCCCAGACCATTGCAGTTGAGCATGTAAACGTTCAAGCTCCAAGCCTTGCAAGCTTGAATGAGTCACGGAACAAATTCCATTGCTTTTTTCGGGAAAGGGAAATCCTGGCAAGGGGTGTGCGGGCTGATTAGACTTCTCAATTCGCCAGCCAGGAAAGGGAGGGATGAATCAAGGGAGGGACGGAGTGGAACTCCCACCCCGATCGGGGGAATGAAATCGGATCTATCATTCAGCAGAATTCCCGTGGTCTCTGAAGACTCTGTCAGATGAACAGGGGTTCTGCTGAATTACTCAGGATTGAAGCTTCAATGCAGTCATACGAAGGCAATGGCATCGAGAGAGGAAAGAGGGGGAGAAGACGAAAGGACCCTGAATGTGATGTGCTGTGATGTGATGTGATGGGTTCTCACAGTATAACAGATATCATGTGATACCACCTCCCACTTTTGCATACCAGAAGTACTCCATAGTTGCTTCAAGCCATCCTCACACCTTGTCTATACAAATGACTCCCCAGCTCGATTATCGCATCAGCTAATCTCTAACCGCAGAAGGCCAGACTCCCAATCAGTGATATCTCAACCGATTGATCGATAGAAGACAACCTCGACAACACCCCGACTACCGTAACCCCAACCAGGACCCCAAGGCCCAGCCAACAATGAGACCCATCACATTCCCCTCAGATCCTCTCGTCCCTCCTCCCGACAGCCAATCTCAACACCACAGAACTCACCGGTATGATTTACACTTCGGACACCTCCAACAGCAGGCCAGCCGCCATGCATCAAACCCACTCCCTCCGCCTTTCCCTCCTATGCTATAGCTTGTAGCAGCCCTGCGAAGCCATGCAATATAAGTTATCCTCCGGCTCGTGTAAACTTCCCACCCAATGCTTCGAAACTCTTATGACGCCATTCGATGTCATCGAATCACTGATTGTATCGGGGAATGCAGTGCCACACGCTTTGCATCGCATCCCCGCATTTCGTGGGGAACAGGGAAAGGAAATCCGGATTCTGGTGCAGGGTGCAGAAGGATATTACGAGGTGCGCTGGTGGAGGGTTGTTCGTGCAGGGTGGGAGGAGGTCTGTTCGTACTCCGCGTGCGGTGCATATGGGGTAGAAGGTCTTGAAGGGGTTTATGGGGTAAAATGGAAGGGAAAGGAAGGTTGCCTTGTGTCTTGTGCGTTGATGGTCTGGACAAGTACTGCACTGTATACATGAGACCCTTAGGTATGTGTGTGAGGATGAGCAGACTACCAAGTAGCTGTACGGAAGCAATACATATTGCGAACAAAAAAACGAGATCTGTCTATTTCATTCATCATACTATGTACGATCGAACTCTTGTAGAAAAGGTCGCCCACCACCCTCCGGGCATTGTGGCTGCTCCGGCAAAAGACAGACCACGCCTCGTGAGGGCTTATCGATGGAGAGCAGTTGGATGCTTCTTTTACAGCCTTACCTGTTGTTTAGGAAACGAGAGAGGCAGTTAAGTGCTCATCTCTCTGACTGGCTTAAGAATGACAATAAACATAGTTTGCACCGCTACTTCCCCGAGGCGCCTGGTCCTGGCGGGGTCCGAAAGCCGCCGGCGCGTCCTCTCGTCGCCGAGAGAAAGACCAGACTTCGTTCCCCTGCTGGTGTCAGGCAAGAATAATGTGTCAAGGCTGCAATGACTGCGCCAAAAGTCGATCTGGATACCGTGAGCGTCAGTTTACCAGGCGGTGATGTCTTCCACCTCCGCTTCGCCGAATGTGCTGCTCTTGATTAGCTTGTTCACGCCATCGACAACCTCGGCGCCGCCCTCGGGAACCTTGGACATGATGTCGGGAAGAACCTCGCGGAAGAACTCGAGGATATACTTGTTGACCTGTTCAAACTGGAGGAGGAACGCATCGTGCCCCTCAGGACTCTCGATCCGCTTCAATCTCGAGTCCGGGATACCAGCTGCGATTTCCTGCTGCTCCTCAAAAGTAAACAGTCCATCGGTCTCAATGCCCAAAACCAGCGCAGGCTGCTCGATTTGGCCAAGTGCCTCGCGGACAGGGTTCTCGGAGTCTGCGCTGGCCCGGTGTCTCGAGACGTCGTGCGTGTCAAGCTTGCGGGTGATCGCGATGTAGCAGTTGGCGTCAAACCGCTTCACGAACTTCTCGCCCTGATAGCGAAGGTAAGACTGAGCCGAAAAATAAGTCGGAAGCTTCTTCTGGTTGCCCTTAGGTTCGACAGTCTTGCTGAAGGTCTTGGTTCCAGAGAACTGCGGGTCCTGGAAGAGGATTTCGGCCGGCTGGGCAAGCGCAGGCGACTGAAGCACAGGGGAGCTGCGTCCACTGCTCTTGTGCCCATCGTTGTGAACGGCCCAGTGCTCGTTGGGCGGACTAGGCACTCTCTCCGTGCCGTTGATGTTCTGGCGCTTGGAGGGATCAGGCACGTTTCTGCCAAAGCGAGACTCGAACGAATTGCGGCTGCGGTATGTAAGAAGGGCAGACATGCGGGCCGCACCCAACCCGGTCGCAGGGGGGTCATCGAAGGAGTAGTAGCCATCCTCGTACTTAGGATCGCTGTAAATGCTTTGCCGTTGCGCTTCGCCCCAACTGATACACCACGCAGAGTGGCGGGGAGATGTGGCGATAGGACAAATAGCGCGGACATAATCCTTGCCGAAGTAAGCGTACTCAAGGGTAAGCATGCCACCCATGGAACCACCCACGACGGCAGCAATCTGCCGCACGCCAAGGTCATCAAGCACGATCTTGTGAATTCTGGTCGATGTTATACATGAGTACACCCCATGATCCTTTGAGAAAAACATACCTCACATCATCACGCACGGTGGTGAGAGGGAATTCAGGCCCATAGAGGCCCTTCTCCGGGTCTCCGTCCTTGTAGGTCACAGCGCTGGCACTACCATACGGACTGCCCAGACTGTTCAGGCAGACAACAAAGAATCGCGAGGTATCAAAAGCCTGACCGGGACCACCAAGCAGAGGACCCCACCAGTCCGCGACATCAGCGCTTCCACTGAGGGCATGGCAAATCACCAAGACATTGTCGCCGTTCGGGGAGAGTTTGCCGCGAGTGGTGTACGCAACCGGGACGTTATGCAAGGTAACACCAGACTCGAGAGTGAAGGAGGGGATGATGGCAATGGATTGATCGGTAATCAAGGCCGAGAAGGGGTTTTCAGGTTGCGAGGCGACTCTCTCTACGGGATTTAGTAGCCATTCACCTCAAAACCGAGGGGACGGGCAAAACTGAGGCGGGGGCGGGGGAAATTCTGGGGAGGTGGAATACTGACGGAGTGTGCCAGAGGCGCCAGAGGATTGTGTAACCATTCCGGCGAGAATGAGCCTCAGAAAAGCGATGGAATATGAGGGTGAAGACAGAAGTGATCACGGAAAAGGCAATAGCAATGAGGGAGATAACTTTTTGGAAAAATGCAGGACGAGGATGGGAGAATGAAGAGGGAACAAGCCTCATTTTCAAGTTTTCCGCGGGTGACTCATGCGTCATGAACACCCAATCGGAATCCCTGGTTATCTTATGCATCACGTGATGCGTATCTGTATACGATGAATACGCAAAGTGGATTGCCGGTCTTGATCCATGATTCATGCTTCATTCTTCATTCTTAACAGACTAGATTGTATTAGGCAGTTTCCACCGACGATCTCGATGCTTCTTCTTTCCTCTCGGACCGGATACTACCCCATCCCATTCCCCATGCAACCACAAAGCATACGCAGGAACAGCCCGCACAGAGGTAGAACACGCGGTCGATGGTCTTTGAATATGCCAGGAGGACCCCATGGAGATTCGCGACCGATACGACATTCCGGAACCCTGTTGCTCCCGCTGTGAGCACCTCTTCGGCGCTGACATGCGGCGCATATTGCGGCAGCAATTCCCTCAGCCCTGTGTTTTGAATGGTCTGCGAAAAGCTTAGGAAGAGGGATGCCCCCAGGGTTGAGCTGAAAGTTAGCAAGCCCATTGCAATAGGCACCTCTGGGGGTGGGAGCGTGCTTTGCACGGCAACAATAGGCTGAGACGCGCTGACCTTAGTCTCCTCTTCAAAATGTTTACAGTTCAGGTCGACTTACCAGCTGTATACCCATACCTTCGCCCACCCCTGCCAATACCTGGTACCCAGCCCATTTGCCAATGGATGTGTCCGGCATGAAAGTGGCCATCAGACCACTTGAAACGCCGTTGAAGATTGAGCTGAGGAGAACGTAGGGCAGGTAGTAGCCCTGGCATTCGACTGTGGTATATCAGTTAAGATCTAGAGCCAAACAAGCAACCACTTACCGAGCATGCCCACGAAGAGCGCTGCAAGCAACTGAGGTACCATAGTGGGCAGACGGAATAAGCCACTGAACAGGGGCGAGGCCCCCTTAACGGCCTGGAAGTAGATTGGAACGTAGTAGTCTTTGCAGATGATTAGACTCATCAGGAATCCGAAATTCAGACAGCTACAATATACCACACGATTTGAAAGGATCGTGAACGGAATCATCGCATCTGCGCCTTTGAAGGACTCCCAAATAAGAAAGACGATGAAGGTGCAGCCTGCACCGCAGAACAAACCAATGATGGTAGGACTACTCCAAGGGTACTGGTTGCCTCCGTATTGCAACGCTAGAAGCAGTTGAATAGCAGCTGGAGCGAATAAGGTGAAACCAACAAGGTCCAATTGTCGGTGGATCGAGCGAGCAACTGTCAACGCTGCAGGCTTGTGGAGCTGCTCTGGAATGTCGATAAAGGCAATCAAGGCCGCGACCACTCCTCCAATGGGCAGGTTTATATAGAAGCCTGGGACCAGTTTAGCGATACGCTAAGAACAGGGCAGGAGGTGCCTACACCAGCGCCAGGTCGAATACTCAGTCAATGCACCCCCCAGCAAAGGGCCTATCACCAGCCCCATCTGCGCTACTACGGTCCTGTCAGTCGTATGTTCACTGAGACCAACCTGCTCGTGACACACTTACTGCCCATAGACATTCCGATCAGTGCTGCAAACCTGTCAGCGGTTCCCTTCGAGAACTATTCTCTCCAGCTTACATGGTCTTTTGCTCATGGGAACAGAGTTGGCGATGATGGTGAAAGCGCCTGTCTGAATGCCAGCACCTCCGATTCCGGCCACGGCACGTGCAACGATCAACATCTTGGATGAGCTAGCGAGACCGCAGAGAAGGGACCCCAGTTCAAAAACGGTGAAAAAAGTAAAGAAAGTCCACTGTTCAGGTTGAGTTGAAGTCTACACGGGCAATAGCACTTCGACACCTACTTTCGAGTTGAAATTGGCATAGAGTTTGCCAGCCAATGGCTGCAGGGCAGCACTTGGTCCAGTCAACAATTGTGTGGTGTGTTAAGTAACCACACTGGTAGGGCTGGAGGCTCACCTGGCCAGCTGATACGAACTACCGTACCAGCCCACATCGTCGAGCGAGTGAAAATCACTGGTGATTCTAGGGATCGCCTGCACCGGGATTAGTGGTAGCTCATGCATTCGAAGCTCAAGTAGACTCACCGTTGAGATGATAGACATGTCAAGCAGCATCAAAAAGCTCACAACGGTGATGCCTGTAAAGACAGCCGTCAACTTCCAGCCGGTGATCCATTTTTCTAGGGGTAATTCAATCTGGCTGATGTCGGGGAGGCTGGTCGTGAGATCCTCCGAGTTCTTCTTCTCTTCTGCCAAATGTGTATCCATCGAGGCGAGGTTCTGCTGCAGATAGTTGTCACGCGGGTTGACAAGAATGTGTGCTGCTATCTTTGCTTCAAAAGAGCAGAAGATTCATCGATTAAAAGGCTGACATTCAGTTGCCTTCCTTGCTTAACCGTGGAGACAGTATCTGCCAATAAATCTCCGAAGTATTGAACGCCACATTTGATGCAGTGCAACTACCCGACCTTCTGCAGTTCTTTTGTCTTTTCAGTGGCCGACCACCTTTCAGGCAACTCGATGATCGATCTCAGGAGATGTCACTGCACATGACATATCATATCCACTGGAATTTTGTCTAGATACCAGACGGTATAAGCATACGGTCGAAGGCCATCATAATTGCTCGGACATGCTGAGATTAAGACATAAAAGGAATCTAGATATTACATGTTCATACCAAGATAAACCCTAGATCACAACTCAGCGACCAATTTCGTCGCCGACACTCCCTTCTTCAAAGTATCCAAGCCACTCTGAACCGACTCCAATCCCCGTCCCACGACTTCCACCTTCAATGCAGACCTGAAGGAGCCATCTCCCAGAGCCCGTGGCAGGAAGTGTTCGAAGATCGCCGGCCCAACCTCATTGTCTCTCAAATCACTTCCGAAGACGAACTTCGACTCGATGCCCTCCCCCAGCGGCCCTGTCGGAGGAACCGCCAGGGAAACAAACTTCCTGCCCTCAACCTGAGCCACGATCTTCGCACACAACTCCACACTGCCATCCCCAATGGCAAACGCTCCCGCACTCTGCTTGCCCTGGAAGGCCGCCACCACATCCTCCACCACCGTCTCGCTGCGATAGTCAAAGACTTGACTCGCCCCGAGCGACTTCACAAACTCAAAGTTCTTGGGCGACGCCGTGGTGAAGACCTCGTACCCGGCCGCGACAGCCATCTGAACCGCGTTGCTGCCGACACTCGACGAGCCACTCCAGATGAGCACCGTCTGACCTGTGGACGCGGCGCGAGGCGCGCGAGGGAACTGGAGGGCAAGATGGTCCTTCTGGAAAAGACCGCATGCGGCCGTGGAGATTCCCAGGGGGATGGCCGCGGCGTCTGTGAAGGATAGTTGGGGCGGGATCTGCGCGGTGGTCTGGGGCGTGAGGACCACGTAGGATTGGAAGCCTCCATCGGCCGGTCGGCTGGTTCGAACTCCTGAGGTCAAGCCGAGCACGCGGTCCCCGGGCTTGAAGCGGGAGGCGAGGGGGCCTGGGCCGACCTCGACGACTTCGCCGGCCACGTCGCAGCCCAGGACGGTCGGGTAGGCGGTCCAGGGGAAGAGTGCAGTGCCCATGTCTTGCATGGCATAGTCGACCAGGTTGAGTCCGACGGCTTGGTTCTTGATCACGATCTCGTTCTCCTGGGGAGGTGTGTAGGCTGCTTCGTCTACTTCGAGGGGATAGGCTTTGTCGGACGTGAGCCACGCGGCGCGGTTGCTGGGGGACATTGTGGGAGAGGGTGGTATATAGTTGGAAGTCGTGTAAATGTTGTCTTAGGGATGTTGAGTCTGGTGACTGGAGCTGTTGTCTTTGCGTCTGTATTTGTTGATGATGACGTTCTCCTTCGCTGTCCTCATGCAGTCGTTATATACTTAGTTCGTACTGAGTTAGGGCTTATGGCCGAGGCCAGCTAAAATCCGCAATGTCCGACGGCATTAATCCTTTCACCACGTCACAAAGCATACTAATACCGACGGCGTTCGATCCCTTCTCTCCTACGGCGACTTTCCATTTAATCTGACTGAACCCCGCCGGTTCTTGAAATCATGTTTGTTTCCCCTTCATGTCAGCAGGACCTACTAATACTCTCCATGCTGCATCCACCAGCCATGGACCAACCTCCCACGCAATATGATCTTTCGCCGGCCCCGTACGGCCGCGCATGTATGAATTGCTCGCAGGCGAAATGCAAATGCATCCTTTCCAAAGATGGAGGCCAGTGTCAACGGTGGGTTTGGATCACAATAAGCATGTTCTTCCACCCACCGTCCCGACTGACTATATGCATGCTCTACAGCTGTCAGCGCCTCCACAAAGAATGTCGCCCCTCCGCGTTCCAGCGCCGGCAAAATCTCCGCAAATCCGCCGCCACGAAGAGCGGCCGCCTGGAGAAGAAGCTGGATGATGTGGTCGCGCTGCTTCGTGCCCGGGCTGCGCATGCATCTGGTAGCAGTGCGGCCGCAGATGAATACGCTGACTTGATCGAGGACCAGTTGAACGCAACGACGCCGGCAAGGCCCCGGCCACGGACTCGGACTCCGCGCAGTGTCTCACGGAGGAAACCCGACGTCGAATCCCAAAATGTCAGTAATCCGCAGGCCCGGTTGCAGTCCACCGAGCCGATCGAGCAGACATCGAGGGGTCTCGGCTCAGCGGCTCCCTCGCCAGAAGACGCTGCCCTCGAGCTTCCGCCGTGGCAAGCCGAAGAGTGTTTGGCGGCGTTTCTCACGCAGAAACTGCCGTATCTCCCATTCATCGACTTTCCGTCAGGGACCACGGCACGGCGTCTGCAGCGCGAGCGGCCGTTCACGTGGCTATGCGTGATGGCGGTTGCTGCGAAGAGCGCGAAGCAGCGCAGTGCGCTCTGCGACAGGGTCAAAGAGATTGTCGCGCAGAAAGCGGTGCTCGACTACGGGGGTCGCGATCTCGATCTCCTCCTGGGCATACTGATCTTCATCGCTTGGTATATTCGTCGTTCACCACTGTTTCTTCCTCGATTCTAACCCTCGATCCAGGTCCGGCCAGCAAGTCTTCCGCAAGCTCAACCTGATCATGTTCAGCCAGCTCGCCATTGCGGTGGTGTATGATCTCTCGCTGGACAAGCCCTCCTCGCTGGAGAACTCTCTCCTGCTGTGTCTGCATTCTTCAGTGGACGACGACCCTCCGCCGCTGCCCGTCCGGTCCAAAGAGGAGCGTCGAGCCGTGCTAGGTTGTTATCTCCTCACCTCGAGGTATGCCCCTCCCCACAGCAACAGAGCAATACACCGCTCGAACTAACCAGCACCGCATGCAGCGTCGCCCTCTTCTTCAAGAAAGCCTCATCCCTCCGCTGGACACCATACCTCGAAGAATGCCTCGAAACCCTAACCCAGCACCCCGATACCCCCAACGACGAAGTCCTCGTCCACCAAGTCCGCTACCAACACGTCAACGACCAACTCAACCAGAATCACCCCGAAAACCCCAACCCCCTTCAAGCCCCAATCCCATGCCCCATCCCACTCCCCACCTACCAACACGCCCTCACCACCTATCTCCAATCCGCCCAAACCAAATTCCCCCCGCACACCCAAGAATACAGTACGCCCCCTCTCCATAAACAAACCAAAGCACCGCCTTCCCAAGCTAACGCAGAGACAGAAATAATCCACCTCCACAACACCCACACCGCCCTAACCCTCACCGAACCCTCGCTCCTCAATCCCACCAACCCCAAAACCCAAACCCCCCGCCTCAACCTCCCCCACCTCGACCACCTCACCGCCGCCCTCACCGCCACACAAGCCTGGCTCGACAACTTCCTCACCATCCCGCCCGCCGAGTACAGCGGCTTCCCCTTCACGGTCTTCGCGCAGCTGGCCCGCACCCTGGCGGCGCTGTGGCGGCTCTCCACGCTGGAGGATCCGCTGTGGGATCGCGGGGGTGTACGACGGGCGGTGGATGTGTTGGGGGTGTTGGATCGCGTGGTGGGGAATTTGGGGCAGGCGGCGGCGTTGGCGAGGTTGGAGGGGGGGAGGAGGTTCTTTGGGAATTCGGGGGGAGGCGGGGATGGGGAGGAGGATGGGGAGGGGGTGGATGAGGGGGAGGTGTTTTTCCAGTCGGTGGGGAAGTATGAGGCTATGCGGTTGGCTTGGGAACGGAAGTTGAGGTTGGGGGCGAATGTCGGTGCTGGAGGGGGTGGGGGGAGGGAGGGGGTGCAGCTGCCGTTGTGTCAGGATGTTTCTGGGTTTGGGTCTGGGTCTGGGTCTGGGGGTGCTGGAGCTGGTGCTTTGGGGGTGGGAGTTGGGTATGATGACTGGTTGAGTGAGTTTTTGAATTCGATGGTGCATTGATTCTACCTAGTAGCTAAGGGGTTTCTCGTCTCTCCTTGGAGGAATCGATTCAGGGCGAGTAATCTCGGTGGTAGCTACGTAACAGGGCAGTGATAAAGCATCATCATGGATGGGAATTGGCCACTACTTTGCCAGGATATCCCCTCCCTCCGGCCCCGTCTGCGCCTTGTGGATTCTCTCGGCCGTCGTCTTGAACAGCCGGGGCAGACGAGTCTCCGTCTCCTCGAACGGCTTCCCCGTCGCGATCATCTCCGCCAAACACTTCGCGCTGAGTAACACCACCGGCATGCCGTGTCCATTGAATCCCGCGCAGATATACTGGTCCGGTTTCTCCGGCACCTGCCCGATGTGCGGGTGGGAGTCGTACGAGTACCCCATGACTGTATTTGTCTTGATGTTAGCTTTTTCTCCTCATATAGAAAAATTAAGGGGGGCGCGGGAGTAAAACACGGGGACACTCACTCCCCGTCCAGATCTCCTTAACATACGCCCCGCTCCCCTCCCACCCCCGGAACGTCCTCTGCATATAATCATCATAATAATGCTCAGTCGGTTCAATCAACGTCCCATCGTCCACCACATTGTACCACTGCTCCCGCGCGTTCTTAAACGTATATTGCGCCCCGCCGACAATGATGCTTCCATCCGGCCGCGAGATCAAGTAACTGCCCCCGCCGCCTTCCTTCGTGTACACCACATACGAGTACGGCAGGAAGGGCACGCTTTGCCCTTCGGGCACGGTGATATGCGAGCAGATGCCCCGGCAGGGGACGATGCTCTTGGCGTACTGCGGCAGCAACCCCGCAGTGTAGGCGTTGGTCGCGTAGACGACTTTCCGGGCGCGGATGACGCCGCGCGCCGTGTGGATGGTGTGATGGGTGGTTCCATCTTCGGTGGCGGTAGTCACCCCCGTCACGGGCGTTTGGGCCTGCACGTTCAGCGCCGGGGACGAGGCGATCTTGTGGAGGAGGCCCAGGATGAATTTGTAGGGCCACAGGGTGCCTGAGGTGTAGGAGAGGCAGGCTTTGGCGCCTTTGACGCCGGAGATCTTTTTTGGTGCGTTAGCTCCTTGTCCTGTTCGGAAACTTTTGTCTTCGAAGTTGTGATGCACTTCCTTTCACTGGATTGCCTCACTGAGAGCATCTAGACAGAAAGGGAACAGTGTATTGGGGGGGGGGGGGGGCGATTACTTACCCCCTCCGCGTTCTTCGCCGACGTATAGTGCAAATCCTTCGCGACAGCCACCCCCTGCGCCAGCAGCTTTTCGTAGATCAGCCGGGCGCGCTCCCCGCCGTCCTCATTGAGGTACACGTTCATGTTGCGCGTGATGTTAAAGTCGCAGTCGATCTGCTCCTCCACCAGGAGATCTTTGAGGGCTTGCATGTGCGCGTACTCGAAGTCGGCGATCTCGACCCCGGCGTCCAGCCCGTACCGCTCGATGTAGCTCGGGATGTGGCCGTAGATGTCGGGACGGAGGTGGCCGCCTGTTGATTTATCACACGTATTAGCCAAGCAGTCTGGTTGATTTGGAAAACCTCTGGGCCGGCATACCGTTGCGACCGGTTGCGCCTGAGCATATCTGTCGCGCCTCAACGAGGGTGATTGTCGGATGGGACGATGGAGATGTAGTGCCGCCGTGGCCGAGCTGTTTCAGGAGGTAATAGGCTAGAGTTACGCCCGCGTAGCCGGCGCCGATGATGGCGATGTCGGTCTCTTGGGGAAGGTCGGGGGTGGTGCGGAGGGAATCCAGTTCGTCGAGTTCCGTGCGCCAGAAGGGCAGGATGGGGTTGTCGATGGGGAGGATGGGGGACATTGTGGATAGGATTGGTAAGAATGGAAGAGTACGATGGCAATCGGAAGTGTGTCTGATCTCATTTGAGGGCCATGGTGCTTTGTTTATAAACCCGGCCTACTGGTCCCTCCAAGGTCTAGTTTTACTCCGCACCCAACGCCGAAGAGGGGCTGATTGATAACGGCGCTTCTCCTAATCCAAGCTTTATCTGCGGAGTTCGGAGCTGGCGGGCCACACGCCACGTTATCTATGCACTCGTAGATAGTGCTCTACCTTCAGTCATATGTTTGATGCTTATGCTTGGTGAATTGAGTTCCGTGGGAACTAGTGGTATCTCTATCCGACCTGCTCATCCCGCTCGCTCAACACAAATCTCGAAAATCACGAAACATAGACCGAACCAATCATGCCATCTCCTCCCAGCCCAAAGCCCTTATTCCATCGCCCCGACTCCTGACGCTTCTTGCGGATGTTCCAGAAAATCGAGCCCTGGAGTCATACATTCATCAGAAACCACTCGAATGCTTTTGGTAGCCGGCAAATCACTCACATCGTACACTTGCCGCAGATCGTCCTTGTAGATGCGTCCATCTTTCTGGAGCAGCAACCATGTCGTCCCCCACTCGAAGAGCGCAGCTCCCCACTATTATGCCACAGATCAGTATTCAGTTCCGTAACAACTCCGCAGCCACTGAACCGAGACAACCTCATGACTTACCCCGAACGGATCCACCGCCACCCGCTGCCCGTGCATCAGGTTGATGATCTCCCCGAGCGTCAGGGTCCCATCGCCTTTCCGGTCATATTTGGCGAACAGATTCTCAAAGGCCTGCGGTACGAACCGGCCCTCATTGTCGATCACGCCACTGTCCGATCCATGCTGAGAGGTTTTCGCCCCAAAGGTCAGTTGAAACAGACTCTAAACCCAACCTCTTACTCCAGCTTCCACTTTGCTCCGTCGAAACCCCGGGGATTCATTCATAACCAGCATACAGTACATACCTTCGCCTTGTGGATCCCGTGCACATACACCCGGAACCAGGGATCCGGGAACCAGGAATGCGCCAACCGCGACGGGTAGGAGAAGTTGAGGTTGATGATCAGCATCGCCAGCAACGAGAAGAGCATGTTGAACCCCAGCTCCCGGAAGCCGACGTAGGTGTCCCAGGGGGTGATCTGGCCGTCGCCATCGCGGTCCCAGAAGAGGACGTGCTGCTGGAGAACGGTCTGGAGGGGGTTTCCACAAATTAGCTTCGCGGCAGCCAGCCAGCCAGCCAGTCAGCCAGCCAGCCGTTCGGGACTGCAACGCACATAGTCTTTGTTCTCCTCGTGGTATTTTGAATGAAGGCCCGATTTGGTCTGCGAGACAGTATAGTTGGCGCGGGAGACGCCGGGTTGTTGGATGTGCGCGCCCGCGTCCGTGGCTACGGGTCGTGCCTGGGTGACCGGGGCTTGTTTTGCGGATACGGAATCATTGAGATTTGTCTTGTCGTCGGATGAAGGGGGCATTCTTGTTATTGTTTTGGGGAAAGGGTTGAGGGAGTATAGATCTTGTTATGATGTTACTCTGTGCTTGTACCAGCGAAGCCATCATGCTGGTCTTATAGGATCCGATATACGAGTAGCATGAGATTCTTTACTTTGGATCGACTCACGATGACATCAACCCGTGTGGATTCGTGACCTTCCCTTAGAACGCTCAAAGAAGCTGAGGCATATCAGGCTGTGGTCTGTGCGTAAAACAAACCGACCAATCCGAGAACCGGAAATGGAAATCTGATGGTGGTTCGACTTATTCTGAGTCGCATACGTCATCGAATCCGAACCCTGATGCACTTGCACCCCAACCCGAGATCAAGCCTTGGGGCCTGAGCTCAGTATTGTTCCTGTTCTTGAGGCGTTGGAAATGTGGGTGTGTCTTTTGGAGCTACAGCGTTGTACAGTACCTGCCGGTGAAACCAGGGACCCGTAAGATGTATTTATTCCCTTTCGGGGTGTGGATGCGTGGAGATGTGTATATTTTGCCGGATGGCCGCTGTGAAATCGACGGCTAATTCTGGTCTTCACGCGTCTTTGGAGGGTATTGAAGAAGAATCGCAGACTGATATTCTTCTGATATTCTTCTCGTGGTAATTATGGAGGAGCCTAGCATCGCACTCATCAAGCACCTGCTCGTCTTAAGCCTGAGTTAGAAAGGCGTGCCTTCACAAGTTCTACTCCCAGAATGTTAATATGAAGACAAGTTTCTGGTTTCTGCTGATTCATCTCAGAGGCAAGGCTCATTTCTCATTTTTCAAGTATCCTAATCTCAATCCGTACTGCCAAGTTCTGGGACAAAAAGAAAATAGGGCCCGGGTCTTCGTGTATGTACTCAGTACAAGTTCAAGTAGGTTCCTATAGCGTGATGGCAAGTATATTTACAGGATAGGAACCGGCAACAACGGGCCTAGCTTCGGGTCATAAGTGCAATATCCAGCGTTTGATTTCTGGTACATAGTTTGTATACACAATAGAGTCAATAGAGTTCTCGCAGCCCTTCTAGTACCCTTGACCAAGTCAACTGCGGCACTAACGCAAAACTTTGTAGACTTCTATCAGAGCTGGGCAATCTGTCTTTGCCGATGCTTGGTTTCTACTTGTTATAGTCATGTCCTATAAATCGGCACTTGAATGATAAGCTTGTTGCCGACAGAGCTTATAGCGAGCTTCTCTTTCACAAAGCCTAGAAACCTTTCCATGAAATGAAGTGCACCGGAGATGTAGAAGACAATGTATAATTCAAGTGACCTTCTAAATGGCGCCGGCCTCAAACCAAAACATCCTAATCGAGAAAAGGCTGAGCCAATACTACTTGGAACCACACTAAGCCTCATGCGGCAGTACCCCCTTGCCCCAAACCGGATTAGCGCACGGCATCATCTACCCTCCGCCAGTCAAGCTCAGCCCCGACCGACCGTCCACTGCACCTACTGAGGAACTCTGAATGACTACTCACTCTACCGCAGGGCAGCAGCAGCGCATCGCATCCACCCACACGAACCACCACAATATACCCCCAGTTATACAGCCATGACCAGCCCCGTTTGAATTACAATCAACCATCTGACACCAGCCCCTCGCAAGGCGACCTTTATATGCAGCTAAATCCCCGCCGTCTCGCGGACCGATACTAGCACTAGTACCCCAACAATATGACCGACTACTCGAAATTGAAAGTCACCGACCTGAAGGCCGAGTTGAAGCGGCGCGGCATCGCGCAGACCGGTCTCCGCGTCAAACAGCAAATCATCGACCGGTTGGAGGAAGAAGATGCTCGCGAAGCTGCCGGACAGGATGCGACCGCGGAACCGGGCTCCGATCGCGAAAATGCGCAGCCGCAGCAGCAGGAAGAGGAAGAGGAAGAGGAAGTGAGCGAGCCTACACCGGAGGCGGAGGAGGAGGTACAACAGGAGGTACCACCTGCGCAACCAGTCGAGCCGCAGGCCGAATCGGCCACACACGCGGAGCCGGTCCCCGATGAGACCGTGAAGCAAACGGAGGCCGAGGATTCGACACAGCCACGGGAACAACCGCTGGAGCAGACTGAGGCTGCAGTGCCTCAGCTGGAGAGTGTAGTAGAGGAGACGATTGCCCGTGGCGATCAGGTCGCGGAGGAGTTGTCAGAGCAGCCGAAAGAGAAGGAGGAACTAGGTACAAAAGCGCAAGAGCCAGAAGAGAAGGTGGTCGCGACTGACGCCTCTGCAGTGCAGGAAACGACGACCGAGCCACCTGTCGCCCCGGTTGAGCAGGCTCCCGGAAACGAACCCGCGCGGGAACCTACAGCCATCCAGCACCAAGATGCAGAGCTCAAGGAGACCGCGCCGCCTACAAGTATCCCTTCGGAATTGAACACAGCATTCTCAACTCCTCTTCCCACAGAGGAGCTGTTAGAGGATCGACGCAAGCGCAAGCGACGTAGCCAGAGTCCTGTGCCCACACTGGAAGCTCTGGCCATCAAAAAGGCGAAGGCGCAAGAGGAAGAGCCTCGCGTGCTGCTGCCTGAAGATCAAGGATCATCTATGATGGAGGTGGATCAACAGGGAGAAGAAGGGGCAGCGCATTCGCGCGAACCCCCTGAGGCACGTGCTGAGCCTGAGACGGCGGCGCCAGGTCAGGAAACGGAATCTGCTCCGGCCGCTGACGATACAACCCTCGCAGCCAAGAAAGATGCCCCGCCGAAACACGATGTTCGTTTCAAAGGTCTCTTCGCGGGGCCGGGAGTCGACCAAGCCCGTCCGCCGTCTCCTCCCCCTGATGTTGCTGTGGACGAGGCAGTGGTTGAGCCTGCCCTACATGCTGCCACTGCTGCGCTCTACGTTGGAGGCCTGATGCGGCCGATGCAGCCGGCGGCCCTCCGAAGTCACCTGGTTACTCTTGCTTCGGCACCTGGCGCTTCCCCGAATGCTGATGTGATCCTCGATTACTACCTGGACCCCATCAAGACACACTGCTTTGTGAGCTTTACAAGTGTCTCGGCCGCGTCGCGTGTCCGAACGGCCCTCCATGGGACCGTTTGGCCTAACGAACGCAACCGAAAGGCGTTGTTTGTCGACTTCATTCCCGAAGACAAGCTACAGTCGTGGGTTGAACGAGAGGAGGGGACCCGGCAGCGTGGCGGGCCCGCACCTCGATGGGAAGTGAGATACGACCGTACAGACGACGGTGTCGAAGCTGTGTTAGAAGAAGTCGATTCCCGCAAACCGGCCGCCCAAGCTGCGCGTGCACCTGACCTCGCTGGCTTCTCTCGTCCACCGCCCACCGGTCCCCGTGCAGAGGGTCGTGGTCCGACTCGACGTCCCAGTAGCCCTGGTGTCGCACGGTCAGATTCCCACCCGGGCCAAGGGTTCAAGCCCTTGGACGAGCTGTTCATGTCCACCACCACCAAGCCTAAGCTCTACTATCTGCCCGTGACCCGGGAGGTGGCTGACCGGCGTCTCGATCGGTTCGACGACCTGCTACGAAAAGGCGCCTTCCCCCGGCGGGGAGGGGACGAGACCCGTCGTATTACTTTCGAAGACGGTGACCGATTTGTTGACAAGGGGCCGGAGTACTTGGGTGGTGGACGGGGCCGACGCGGCGGCCGCGGCGGCCGAGGACGGGGAGGAGGAATGGGTGATTCGTGGCGAGACGACCGACGCAGTCGATGGTAACGATACTTTTTCTGATGATTATGTGGTTCCAAGTTGTTCTGGTGATGTACGGATATAGTCATCCGTCACGTGTACAGTAGTAGTTAAGGGACATTGCGAGGGGCAGGGGGGGGGGGGGGGCGCAAGCATGGATGTAAATTAGGTGATGACTGCACAACTGTGGAGTCCCCCACTAGACAAAGCAATGAACAATTCTGCTTGGCTGCCAGTTTGACTGCGGAAGAAGAGTAATTAATAACAAAAAAGAAACAATAATAATGAACGGGGCTGTGGTGATCTGTTAGAAATGTGTTTGAATGGTATTCATTCACCAATAGACAAAGGGGGAAATGAGCGAGAGAGAGAGAAAGAGTTGAAGGCAGTTCCGGCTATTTCGGGAAAGTGGCGCAGCCCGTGGTCAGTGGGTACTGTACATACCAGCTGTGATGTAAGTTGAGCTAATTTACCGCCTTGTGTCAGGGAACAATGGCGATGACGTGTATTGGTATGGTCACTGGTTAACTTTGGTGCCTGTGGTTCGTTCATCCCAGCAATCACAAAGCATTCCAATGCAAAGTGAAATGAAGTGCCAGGTGCACTTCACCTGTGTTTCGTTTCATCTGCTCTGTCCAATCTAGCGCTTGACTTCCTCCCTTGGTTTTATGCTATACCTCAGCTATACTTATACTATACTGGACTGAACTGCTCACTAGACTGACAGAACTGGTCTGGCTTGATTGAATACAGTACCTACAGTACATTCGGATCAACAGTCCGATGTACCACAACCAGCACCATCATCTTCATTGTTCTCCAGCAGCAGCAGCAGCAGCAGCAGCAGCAGCATTGGCTTTGTCCACGCCATTCATTTATTCTCCCCCTCTGGCCGATCACCGTTGATCCCCAGCCTCTCTTCCTCTCTTCCTCGCTCCCTCTTCTTTACTTTTTGTCTTTCCCCCCCTCTTCCGTTCACTTATTAGTCGCTGTTCCTGCCAAGCAACACCAAGCAACACGACACGCAGCTCACGCTTTCTCGGCGCCTGTTCCAGCGAGGCAGAACATATTCCCCATTACTTTTTGTCCGCTCGACCCACGATTACTATCCTTGCAGTTCCACCGGCGACAAAAGTGTGGACGGAAGTCTAATCTCGGGCGGCTCCCAGGGGTTCAGTCGCTCATTCTTGGGCCAAGCCGGGCTGGGCGGATAAGATAGAAAGTCGGCCGTGTTTCTCGCTCTCCATTCAACTTGCGACGATTTTACTCCCCCTTCTTCCACAATATCCTGAAGCCCTCTCTTTTTGTTTCCTCCCCCCATAGCCTCTCGCGCAGTTCGAGGCCGCTCACTGTTCAGCTGTTCAATTTCCACTCCCACCCCCAAGAATGGGCTGGCCAGTGTGTAATTCCACCGCCGAGGATGAGACCAGTATGTCCCTTTTCGTTCTTTGTCCGCTCTTCGCTACAATTTGCGACACTATGGTTGTTGAGTTGAGCTGACGCGGATTCTTCAAATTCACTCGCATAGTCACGGAGGTCGACCTCTGGAAAGGCGGGATCACCTTTCACCAGCTGTGCCTCATGGTCGGCGGGGTGTTTGGTTTGATTTCCATGATTGTTTCCTTCTATCTGATTATGATGCATGCTACGCATTACAGCAAGCCGATCGAGCAACGACAGTACGTTTCCGCCTTCTCGTCGCGCCGACCCAGAGTCACACAGAGCTAATCCTATCATGTTGCATCGCATAGTCAGATACGAATCCTATTGATGATACCCATCTACTCGATTGTCGCGTGGGTCGGAACGTACTTCTACAAGAACGATGTGTACTACGATTTGATTGGCAATTGCTACGAAGCCTTCGCCATCTCCGCCTTCTTCTCCCTGCTCTGCGCCTACGTCGCACCCGACCTGCATAGTCAAAAAGAGTATTTCCGCGGTGTGGTGCCCAAGCCCTGGGTCTGGCCAATTCCATGGCTGCAAAAGATCTCTGGTGGTGAGAAAGGCGTGTGGAGAACCCCTCGCAGTGGTTTGACTTGGTTCAATGTGAGTTGCTTCGAGTTCTGAGTCGCATCGGTCACCAGCTGACGAAGGATCGAAGGTGATTTGGGTGGGCGTGTTCCAATACTGCGTCCTGCGGGTCCTTATGACCGTTATCGCCGTCATCACGCAACACTACAATGTTTACTGCGAAGAATCGCTCAATCCTGCGTTCTCGCACATCTGGGTATGTGCTCATGCACCCGATCGCTGGTGGACCTCGACTGATCTTGTTGCCTGCATAGACTATGATTATAGAGTGTATCGCTGTCTCGATCGCCATGTACTGCCTGATTCAGTTCTACATTCAGCTCAAAGACGATATCAGCCAACACTCTCCCTTCTTGAAGATTCTTTCCATCAAACTCGTGATCTTCTTGTCTTTTTGGCAGTCGGTAAGTGGGCTATTCCGCAATCTACTCTCGTGGCAATCGATCTAACTAAACTTGCAGACGTTGATCTCGTTCCTTTCTTCCGCGGGTGTCATCAAAGCGAGCAAGACAATTCAGTCACCGGACTTGAAGGTCGGACTACCAAATATCCTCATTTGTATCGAAATGGCCATGTTCTCGGTTCTTCATCTGTGGGCCTTTGCATGGCAACCGTACTCGCTTCTTGCGCAAAATTCCGATGTCACAGACTTTTATGGTAATGGAAAGGCCAGCTATCAGGGAGGTCGCTTCGGCCTCAAAGGGCTTTTGGATGCGCTCAATCCTGTCGACCTTGGCAAGGCGGTTGGCCGCAGTTTCCGTTGGCTGTTTGTGGGACGCAAGAAGCGGACGCTGGATCCCAGCTACCACACGCCTACCGAGGCGTTCGGACTGAATGCGACTGAGAACCTCACCCCACCGTACGGCACCGCATACCAAGGGCCTACAACGGCATTGAGTGCAGGGAGATATGGCAGCGACGAAGAAGGCGAGGTGCTTTTGTCTCATGCTCAACCCAGCCCGGGAGGACTAGTCCCGGGCATACACGATGACAGTGATCCGAATCGCTTCTACTCGCATAATCGATTGAGCGACTCGTCTATTTTGGAGCCGCAGCCTTCGCACACGGCTCCTCACACAGACCCGTCCTACGAGGATGCATACAATCCGTACTTGGTCCAATCTCAGCACCTGGCCCATGACCCTTACCACAACAATACTCCCACCCTCGGAAACCCTCCGTATCCGGATAACACCACCGCTACAACAGCCACTCACCCTCAACCCTACCAACAACCTCCCCTCCAAGAACAACCTCCGATCCCTCTTCCAGAAACATACCAGACCCCGCCACCTGGATACGATATTGAGAGTCATCAACGGAGGTAAAAGGGACCCTCCAAGCGGACTCCTTGCATTTGCATGAAAAGCTTTTTCTCGAAGCAAACCGAAGCGCGTGACATGACATGACTTAGACCTCGTAGCACTGGTTGTTGCATCTACCATTCTCTTTCTACAGCAAGCTGTCTTTGACGGTGTTCCACTCCAGTCACCCGTCACATTCATATTGTCTCTATGGCGTTAGTTCTATACCTGTTGCATTGTTTGTCGTATAATACCCTCTGTTTTTGTTTTGCTGGGCCCTCTGGCCGCTGGCGCTTTATCTGCGTTATCTTGTTTCGCATTGTACGAGATCATGGCATAAAATATTGATTGTATCGCGAACTGATTGATGTGATTTTCTTTAAGACCTGTGTTGTCTGGTTAGGGAGTGGATCACCTCTTCGCTTGTGTTCTCGTTCTCGTATAGAGATGGAGGATCTTTGCATGTACAGTAGAATTATTGGATGTGTCTTCAACCCGTAAGGATGAGTGTTAGGATATATTCTCCCATCCCGAGCGTTTCATCTTCATCTTAATCTACACACAACAAAAAAAATCATTCCATCCATAATCTCATTACGTAGCTAAAGTATGGACAATAAGGGGTGATTCCTTAAAGGCTCTTCCCGGGGCAAAGAACCCCCAAATCATTCCATCCGTTCCGAAATTCACTCTAGAATCCATCCCCGCCGGCCCCCAATCTCCCGGAGTAAAGCATCTCCTCCCCAGCACCACCAGCACCAGCACCACCATACCGCCCCTGCAACCCCGCCATCCGCATCTGCAGGTCCACTCCACCGCCGCTCCCGCCACCTCCGCCCAAACCGGACGGGCCGGGTTTCCGCGCGGCCGCGGCCATGGTCCGGCGGGCGTTATTCAGGATGGCGGTGCGTTTGCCCAGTTCGCGCATGTGGCTGATGCTGTGGCTGAGCTGGCCGAGGAGGGCGACGAGGTGTACGTCGTTGGCCTGGGCGAGAATTTCGCGGTTCAGGGCGCTATTGGCGGGGGGTGTGAGGAGGGCGAGGTGGGAGAGGCAGGCGTTGATGTTGCGGAGAGTGGGGTGGGAGAGGGTTGTTGTGGGTTGTGGGGTGGTGCTGGTGGGGGAAGAGATGCTGGAGACGTAGGATTTGATGAGTGAGATTCGGGATTCGAGGGTTCGGATGGCGTTGAGGCGCGTGTTGAGGCTGGCGATTACTGTTGATTTTTCGTTAGTACTTCCTAAGGGGCTTGATTTTGAGGGTTCTGGGGGGAGGACGTACGCTCTTCTTCTTCGGGCGAGAGGAGGTCTGATGGTTCGGTTGTTTGTTGTTGTTGTTGTTGTTGCTGCTCCTGCTGCGGTTCTTTGCTTGATTGTTTGGCTTTGTTTATTTGCGATGGGTCTGTGCTGGTGGTCGAGGGGTAGATGGCTGCGTTGCGGGCGGTTCGTGCGACGGTGTCGATGCCGATCATCTCGGCTTCGCCGGTCTCGACGGAGTATGGGAGTTCGCGGAACTTGATGCTCAATGTTGGTGGCGGCTGTTCCTCGCTGTCGACTTGCATGGTGTTGGTGTTGGTGTTGGCATTCTCGCCCCCTTCGTAGACGCTCTCGTAGATGGTGAGAGGCAGTTTGCCGCCTTTGGAGGATGCTCCGGCCACCTCGCCGGGGTGGAAGGCGAGAAACACCGCGGATTC